CTTAGTTAGGTTTCTCCTATCTAAAAAATTACAGTAATATCTTTATAGTGATAAGCTAATAAGTAACTGCAAGGCTGCCGCGAGACTCTTGCGCAAGACCAAGACCATGACCAAGACTGAGTTTGCAAGACCAAGACTCATCTCGGTCTCGCATTAGGGCAACATTATATGTACCCATCAGGAGGCGACTAAAAAGGAGCTAGACGAGAGATCTCAACTAAATCAAGGAAGTATATAATGAAGAAGAGGTGCTGCTGGGTGCTATCCTTCCTCATGCCTATAATGTAAATCCTTTTTTTTATCCCAACAAATCTGCTGATTGTCAATAAAATGACAGGTGCGGATACATATTTAAAGAGAAAACTAAAAAAAAGTATGTGATCATTTGGCAATTACTCTTAAATCTAATGTACTAAAAGAAAATATATAGTTATGAAATTGGCTTCCACAGTGGGGGGACAATGCTTGATTCGGAGTCCCCTGGGCCAATGTAAATATTGAACATAGGTGTGAATGTGTTTTATTTATTATGTTATTATTCGGCTAATCTGTTATTTTACTTATCTTGTATATTACTTTATATTTATATATATATATATATATATATATATTTGTTTTCGTTTCTTTTGTACATATTGTGTGAATGAATACTATAGCCCTAGTACCAATGCCCTTCAGTGTGGCAAACTGTATTAATACTCAATAAAACAAATTGCTAAAAAGTTATGAAAAACTTTCCTAAATCATTCCACAATCTATTGGGATTTTCTATCTCAAAACATTTTTTACGGTTCCATTTTAAATGCGTTCTTATCCTCCTCTTTTCTTTATATCTTTCAAGAAAATGAAATGTAAGATATAAGCACTGTAGCCATGGAGCTAATAAAAACAGTGAGCTTAAAACTTGATCTTATCGCAGGCGAAAGTTTGAATATATATAGGTTTATATATTACAAAAGTTGATTTTATTAAGTATAATAAAACCCTGTACCACTACAATCTAGAAAGGGACTTGGGTGCAGTACTATTTAGAGAAAGCACTGTTTCTTGGTCTATGATTGTGAAATGAGTTGATTTGACGGAGATCATGTTCAACCGCCAGGTTTTTCCCCAATTAATTATTCTAATTATACTTTATAGAGACTAGGTGTGCCCCAGAAGGATCTACCTACCCAGGGTCGCCCCACGGCCAATGAAACAGAATAAATAATTTTTCTGCCATGAGCCAGGATTCGAACCTGGCACCTTTAGCATTGGAAGCTCAGTACCCTACCGCTGAGATACCCCACTCCCCATTAAGTATAATAATTGTCCTGAATTAGAAATGTTAGTACTCTGTGCTAGTACTTACAATTTGATGCTTTACAACTTTTATTCTATAAGTTTTTTTCTATTAGAGAACTCATTTCCAAGTTACATGGCCATTCATAGTCATTTATCTCAGTTTTTGAAAAAAATTGTAAATGTCTTCGATCGATTACTGTGGTTTTCTACCATACCTCTTAACCTTGTTCGACGCAAAATTTAATGTTTTTCAATTTCTTAGACCGTAGATTTTCCGCTTCGTTGCACCGTTTAGGAGTCATAGATGTAAAAACAAAAAAATATAGAAAAAACCTGTTTTTTTGCTGTAAAAAGTTTTCCTTTGGTGGCACGCCTTAGCAATTTCGTTTTTTTAATGTTTGAACCAATTTATACAAATTAAAAAAATTCGCTCATTTTTCCCAATTATTGTCGGTTTTGATCTTCAAGTTACTGGCCTAATATTATTAAAATCAGAAGCGGTTTTTTAATGCAGCGGCTTTGAATTGGCAGGCAAGGTTTATTTTACTTAGAATAACATACACTTTAGTAATTTACGCTCAAAGCTCCACCTGAGGTCACGTTTTGGGCTCTGGGTCCATTATATTTTTTAAAGTAAAGTTAAACACAGTTGTATATTAAATAAAATCAAATATTTTAAATTTTAAATACTTTAATTGATAAATTTTTATTGATTTATTCTGTCACAGATGATATAAATGGTTATATTCTAAGAAAATATTTATTGGTTCAAATTATTTAGTTGTTTATAAATATCCTCACTGAATTTAAAATAATTATTGCTTATACACAATTTTATAATTTTTTAATTCTTAGTATGATTCTCGATCAAGTACTAAGGCTTATAAGTACACAAGAAACTTTTTTGGCCCATCACCGACTTATGTGAGCAATTCCATTATATCAATTTAAATAAGGGGGTTTACAAATATAATTCTTTAAAAAATATTACAATTATATAGTAAGCTGGCATATTTCTGAGCAGGATTAAATATTAACTATATTTCCGAGTAATACACTGTTGTGTAAAGATTATTTCGATTCGGCGAGATGATCTCATTGAGCGGAAACAGATAGCATCCGGAAATCATCAAAGGCACTTGGATTATCTCATCGGCCGCTCCTGATGGAGAAGGCTTTGTCCATGCAAAGCTGGAATCCAGGCTTATCGGCTTCCGTCAAATTACTCACAAAGCAGCGAAAAGCGTTTTAATTTCACCGATATTTACATCTGGGTTGTTAATCGGGCTTTTGAAATCTTCTTTTAATAAAACTTGGTGAATAAAACTGAGTTCAACTGATGTCTCCATTAGTTAAAGGGATCTTATTTAACGATATAAATATAGATGTACGGTGGTGTGATATGGAAATGGTCTTCGAACGAACCAAATTTTTATAAAAATGATAAATGTTTCAATTTTAAAATGCTCTTACCTTCTTAATTATAAACTAATTTAACATTTCAGACATTGTAGATGTAATTTATATTTAAATCAACATTGTTTAAATTACCAAGATTATGATTAAATTACCAAAAACAAACCAAGATACCAATCGACTGTGTTGACTTTTTTATTACCTACTCAATAATGTAAACTTTCTGTTTAAATTTCGCCACTTTGTTATACCCTTCAATCTTTGCACTTTAGTGTTGACGTCAAGAGCCGTATAAACTCTAGAAGGTGAACATATCTTTGAAAATTGTTCTAATATTAGAATTCTCCCCTTTTTTCGGTAATTTAACTCAAAACTCCACTAATTTAAGTCAAGAGTCAAGTCTTCAATTTGCTCGATTTTTAAAAATTGTTTATGACATAATGTATTCCAAAAATAGCAACTGCAACTTCATTTTCAATTTCCTTGATTGTAAGCCTTCGTTGATGTAAAATTATAATTTTGTCGGTCGAAAATATGGTGTTTTGTCATTTTCTGAAATTAAAGTGACATTAAATAGAAAACCAAAAAGAAAGAATAAAAGCGTAGAATTTCAATATTAAAACAATTTTCACAGATGCATTCATAAAAGAGCTCTTGATTTTAATAATAAAGAATAAAGTAATTGTGGGTTTATAGTTGACTGTAGTGAATAATTGAAGAGAAGGATGGTTGGGGTGATCAGTCAAAATAAAATAGTATAAATAAATAAATGTATTTATTTTTACATTCGTCTACGTTTCGGCCCGAAGTTCATATAAAATGCATTTATTTATTTTTACCATTTTATTTTGACTGATCACTCCAAACACTCTTCTCTTCAATAAAGAATAAAGGCTGACGTATATAAAAGTAATGAAATTTAAACAATAAGTTTGCATTATTCAGTGGATAAAAAATATCAACACAACGAATTGGTCCTTTGACTTGCTCGTTTTTGAAAGTAATGCTAATTTAAGGATATATATGACATCTCCCATGTCTTCAAGGTTAAACCAGTTTACAGTTAAGAAGTTAAAAGTACGTTAAGTAAGTTGAAAGTTTTATCATTTTTATAACAATGTGATTTGTTCAAAGATTCTTTACACCACTATATACATTTTTTTCAGTTGGCTTACAGATGATCTTTACCTGCTTCCTCCACCCATCTAAGTTATATAAGTATATATTTGTTCAACAGAAAGAAAGCTAAAAGTGTGTACAAATAAAATGAAACAATAACGATTTTTCTCCTTGATTTGTTTTTCAGTCGAATGTAATTTCTTACAAAACCAGTAGCGTGGCTGAGAGAAAAACACTGAGACTTCTTTACACAAGTGGCGGGAAAACATCGTACACTGCTCTCCGTATGGTTGAAAATAGTACAGGTTTCTTTCGTTTACTTTAAAAATATGTTTAATTTCTAACTGTTATAATTGTCCTTAAATATGATAACATAAGATTATAAAGTAGGTTTGAGGTCGATGAATATATGAAAATTGTTAAAATCTCATTGTATGAACTCAGAAAGGTGTTGTTTAGATTTTTGGAAACGGCTACTGAGAACTTCATATTATCGTCATTCCTTTTTATAGAGTAGATTTACAGAGTTGCAAAACAGGCTTAGACATCGGCAATATGTAGATAACAAACCACCCAAGTTATGTATATAAATAGGCGTGCTATCTTCCACCATGATCTATGTCGTGTGACCCCGTCCCTCTAAATTTTATTGCTCTTCTCCTCTTAACAGTGCAAGCAAAAGTATAATTAGAAAAATTAGAGATCATATACATCAAATTACACTTACAGTGATCTGTTCCACATTTTTCTCTTCTTCCCTGATATTAAAATTTATCCCATGATTGGAACCGCACAAAAATATGGTTCCTTACAAAATTCATAACCCTATGAAAATGAGCACCTCAAAAATTTTGATGGTCCCATGAGACCCCCTTCTGAGCACTCCTGTATATATATTCATATATATGGCCAGGAACGAAACACTGAGTATAGTAAAATTCACAGGTTTAGTATATGAAGACATCTCTTAATCTCTCGCCCATCGTTGATTTAACTCTGACCAAGGTTTAGGACTAAATAAACCTGTCCGCATTCCTAAGTTTTCTGACATACGATTAAAATTCTTTTAAATTACTTTATATCCTAAAGTACCAACTCAAAAACTAACGGTTCACCAAGGCGAATAAAGTTAATCACAATCATCAATATGTTTGATTACAATATTTATAATTGTATTTTACCTTCTCGAGTTCTTTGAGTGATGCCGGGGACACGTCTGAGTGCCGCCGTAGTTCCGGAGACCTGGGTGGTGCGAGACCTGTTGAAGTGGGCGCAAGACTTCCTCCGCCAATCTTCACATCGGAATGTCTTCTCTGGAGGGCCTCCAGAACTGGAGCGTCCAGCAGGGAGTCTGTCGAGTCCTGGCCGTGGGTCATAGCCTGGCTCCTCGAGGCTGCTCTTCTGCGGCAGATTGAGCACCGCCATGCCTAAGGGCAATGAAGAAGAATAAGGTTAGATAATTAAAGTATATAAATTTATTGCACAGATATAGTCATATGGTATGATCTTATATTAAATTAATAATAAAAATAAACTTAAACTAAATAAATGTAGATTAAAAAAAAAAAAAAATAGATGAAACCACTTTTTGATGTGTTATAAATGTAAATTACATTAATATTATTAGGAAACTTAACTCTAAATACATTCATCTTGTTCTGTCGCTTAAGGAGAACAACATAAAAGAGGATCATTAAAATAACATCAGTGGACAATGATCTAAATACATTACGGAGTGGAATATGTAATATTTTTCACTCCGGTATTCATGGTTCAATTTTATTCATTCATATTTCTTTACTAACTGTACTCTGAGGATATTATTTTATATATGAATTCTATAACTGATGGGATTAGTCGATTAATCGTTCTATTATATTCTAAATTAGTGAACAAAATTAAATATTCCTATCTAACTGTAATTATTTATTTATTTAGTATCTGAATATGTCTCTACACGATAGCGTCATTGGCATTACTTTCTTCACTCCAGTTCCCTATATTCTATTATAGAATCCCGTTTTTTCAAAAAGCTCATCAGAATTTCTTCATCTTTCTCGATATCTTGTAATATATCCTGAAGAGTACTTGAGGTTTTTTTCTGGTGTCTGGCTGCATAGTATTCACAATCCACGAATATGTAATTATTTTAAACAGTGGTTTGACCATTTTCTATATCAAGCCGATTTACGTATTGATATTTTATGATCAGCATCAAAACCATTTCAAATTTGGAAAATTTCTAAATTGACAGATGATTCTTGACAAATGATTTTCCGAGGCCCATTAAAAATGAAAAATAATTTTCTTAAGACTGTTATTCGTAGAATTGATTGTAAGACTGAGTAATGAGAGATTGTAAGACTGACGATGTAGTCCTTGATATCCTTCTATATTTGCTGAATTTTAGTACATTTATAGTCTCCAGTACAAATTCCATTTTATCAAATTATTAACGTCCGTCTAAAATATCGGCTTCATGAAAGATAAAAGGCTTTATCTTATCGTAATCTACAAGATTTTTTATTTACGAAAATTCCAAGGAATGAGGCGTTTTCAATCTGAAAATCTGTAAACTTTGTCTATATAACGAGGTACTAAGAACTCACAAACACTCATTTTCATTCCATTTGAATCGTTTGGATAGTTGGATCGCGAAATCAAGAAAAAAATTTGGTCTACAAAATTTTTTGGACCATTGGTATATATAACCTAGTTATTTTGAAATGAGGGTAGACGTCACGCCAAACGGAGATTGCATGAACACTCATTTGTTTTTCATTTGGTTCGTATAGATTATTTCCTAAATCTTATAGATTATTAATAAATTACTATATCATTAGTCGTCCAAATTTTGTTACTTATGCTCTTAAAACTTTCCAACGTAAGTACTATTTTGCTGGCTCAAATTTAAGTGATATTTCATAATCTTTATTATTTATTATTTATTGTTATTTCCTAATGATATTTACAATTGTATTAAAGATATACATTTAGTAAATTTGAACATATGGATATAATGACGTGAAAAAACTTGTTGAGGAACTACCCAATGGTAGCACTCTAATGATATATCTACATTAGGAGATCATTGCGCCATCTTCTTTTCAGACGCCTCAGAGGGTTATCAGGAATTGAAGAGGAAGCAAGGTTAGAAGCGAGAGGGTTGCAATAATTCTGAAGTTTATTATGGAAGGATAGGTATCTGGATTGGGCCAGATCTTAAACATAAGAAACATTAAGGTCATTATGGATAGTTTTATTTGTAACAAAGTAAGGAGCATTAAGGATTTTACGAAGGATTTTGGATTGTAAGGATTGGATACGAGAGGAATTCGATGTGTAGCCCCATAGCTCAACTCCGTAAATCCAAATAGTCCTTATTATAGCCATGCATATGAGTCTTTTGTAATTAATTGGAAGTTTAGAGCGTTTGTCTAGTAAGTGCTGTAGTAATTGGAAACGTCGAGCGGTTTCTTGTCGTTTCAGTCTGGTTTTGATAATCTTAAATGACTTTGATGAATTTTCTGTTTGTGAAATCAGGATATTGAGCACTTGAGCTGTATTTCTTATATAAAAGGGCCTGTGTCATTTTAGTGCACTAAAGAATAAAGATGGCCTTCAAAAATATGAAAGATAAAAAGCCATTCATGAAGTTTTAGACATATGTTAATAATTTGATAAACAGAATTATAAATTTAAAGATTTTACATATTTTTTCTCTTCAGAGAAAAACTAAATACACATACAATCTTAGTTAAACCTATACGGATATACATCTTAAAAAGAATAATATAAACAAACACCGGGAAAAGTTGCTGAGAGGAATTACTTTCTCATAAATGCCTAGACTAAATTCAACAATAAATTTTCTGAGTGTCACATATGTAGAGGTTAGAATAAATGTATGAAGAGAGAGCATACATTTTTACAATAAATCATTCAAAAGTGGAAAATGTGAAATTTACTATTTATCATCTTCGATTTCGGATTCATGGATGCATGGCTATTCCAATTTTAATAATGTTTTAAAATTATTTAATTAGGTACAAAATCTGTCAACTAATTAATTCTCTTGAACCCAACGGACATTCAAGAAAAATAAACAACCGATGCTTGCCTTAGATTTTGTCTAACTTCTTCATTGGATATGTTTTATTTGTTGAACTTCGAGAGATTGGTGATATTCATCAGCTTCAGAACTTGTTGAATACACAACAGGAATAAAACGTTTGTTAAATCAAGATTGCCTAAACTAAAAAGAAGTGGGAGAGGGAGAAGTTTGAAATAAAACAAAGCGAGGAAATACTTTTATTAACGGGATAAAGTGGCGCTGGTTTTGAAACAAGAAAAATCTCTCTCCCGGAGCTACTTGCTAATTTTATCGACTCGGCGAACTAAGAGCCATTTCCTGACAAAAGGGTAAATAATGGAAAAAGTTTTAAAATTCCATAAAACTGAGGCTAGAGCTTCTCCTTGTTTATCGCAGAAAATATTTTCACAGTCACGGAGGGCCATTACCCAAACAGCTCAGTTAAATTTTATATAAAATTAATTTTTCCGTCATAAATTTTTGTTTCCTTTTCTTTCAAATTGAAGCAGACAGTAATGGCAAATTAGTAGTAAAAATAATTTTCTGTCCCTTGGTTAGGACTTAATTATTGTGTCACAAAATTATTGTATCAAATACGGTGTAAACATAAAAAAAAAAAAAAAAATTAAAAATATATTCTAATAACGTAATTTTTCATAATTTTATGCTATGCAATTTCTCGGACCAGGAGAAATGGCGGGGAGGGGGAGAGGGGGAAGAGAAAGTCAGGGACCCCTGGCATCGGGACTCGAACAGATAATCTTGAGTTCATCATGCTGCCGAACAACCTGTTAGAATTTTGTGGGCGGGGTAGCCGAATGGGCTAAAGCGTGTGCACTGCATCGCCGTTGCCTGGCAACCTGACATATGAATTAAAGATATAAAAATAGTCACGAGTTCGCGTCCCGGTGCCGGGGGAGTCTTTTAATTCCCCGCCCACACCCCCTGGCCCGGGGAAATCCCGTATAGCCCTTAACGGCGAGGAAGGGAAGGACTAAAAAAAAAAAAAAAACCTGTTAGAATTTTCGTTATAAAAATATTCTTTTCACATAATAACATTTGAAAAAAAAACGCTGCAAATTATTTCACAATGGTTTATTATTTCCAAACAATTATACATCTAAAGTAACATTACTATACGAGTCACAAAGAAAAACAAAACAAAAGGTGATTCCAATTATTGGACTAAACTGTTTTCCTTTAATCATTAGTAATATGCTAAAACAAATAGTATTAGTTCAGTAACACGTTTGAAATTTAAAAAACAAACCAAGGATATAACATTTGGAGTAGAACAAATAAAAAATGTTCACAAAAAAGTGTATACTTTTAATTTATTCGGAATTTAATTTTACCATCCCTCGTGACGTTTTTTTCCAGGTTGTTTTCGTTGAAGTATGTTATATGGATAAATTTAAAGGGCGTCGAGAAAATGACTTTAGCGAAGTTTCATTGAAATCTGTCCATTCGTTTAGGAGCTACAGTCTATAGCAACGCAGGTTTTTCGGCCGCCATTTTGAAAGTTAAAGGCGGAAAGTAATGTCGATGAAGGAGGATCATCCTGAGGTGACCTCTGATTTTATATCAAAATTTGAAAAAAAATCGGTCCAGTAGTTTCGGAGAAAATGCGCGGACGGCGGACGGACAAAAAAATTTTTATTCGTTTTTCGAATTCTACGCGTCTTGAAACGTGAAACCTCAAATTTTGAGAGGGGGTTATGCTTTTGAATTTTTCGGTCGATCACAATGTTTCATTATTAATAATGAAACTAATAAACCAAAATATGTAAAAACCGCGATATCTCTACTAATAGTGCTTTGATTTCGATGAAACTTCCTTCATTTTTTAGAAAATTTAAATACATTTGAAACATCTCACAATATCAATAAAAAAGTAAAAACTTTTCGAGTTATTCGGAATTTAATTTTACCATCCTTCGTAACTTTTTTTCCAGCTTCTCGGTCCAGTAGTTTCGGAGAAAATGCGCGGACGGCGGACGGCGGACGTACAAAAAAATTTTTATTCGTTTTTCGAATTCTACGCGTCTTGAAACGTGAAACCTCAAATTTTGAGAGGAGGTTATGTTTTTGAATTTTTCGGTCGATCACAATGTTTCATTATTGAAAATAATAAACTAAAATACGGCGGTTAAAATAAACCTGCTAGTAGTTAGTATTGCCCAAATTAAAGACTAAGAGAAGTCTTGATCTTGCGCAATGTGTTGGTTTAGGTTTATTAAACATTTTACTTTAGATCTTAGAAAAAATGCTACATAATAGATACATTTAGATGTTTTATTGACATAAACATAGTAAAATCCAACCAAATTAATAAA